TCAAAGAACTACTTTGAAGAAAACTTTCCAAAATTGAAAATGCCATTGAATTGTAAGCTAATAGTACCCCAACAATAATACTAACGTATCTTACAGCTCTAACAATCTATGTATGAGTAATTCTCAGGAGATGGATTCTTAATGCATTTATTCCTGACACTGAAACAGTGGGGATCGCAAGAGCGAAGACCCGGGTTTGAGACCCAACTCTACCACCAACTTACCCTGCAACTTTGGGCCAATCACCTTCCCTCTCTGGGCCTCTATAGTCTCCTCCATACAACTGAGGTAAAGAAACCTGGCCTACCTTCTTCACAGGAACAACACGAAGCTCAAATGAGATAAATACATTCGAGAGCACTTTGAAAAAGGGTTTCTACCTTTTCAAAAATAGAAGACAGTGTGATTATGAATCAATTCTTGGTGTCAAGGGAGCCTTAGAAAGAAGGGGAGGGGATGGAGGAGGGTGTTGCAAGGACAGATGCCACCTAGCTTGAGGGCTCCAGGGATAAAATACATGTCCTACACCCTTGGTTAGCAAAACTAACCAGAGGCAATACAGGCTACAGAGAAGCGCTCAGTACTTCAAGTCTGAAGACTCTGGGTCATTTACTAGCTCAATGACCTTGGACAAGTCATTCACCTCAATGGGTTTTGGTTTACCCATTGGTAAAATGGGGATGTTACTATCTTTACTACCTACCTCCCAGGGCTCTGTGAGGAGCAAATGAGTTAATGGATGGTTAAGTACTTTGCAGACTTTAGGGAAGCACTCTATAAATTCATTCACTTGTTCAGCCATTCATTCATCATTCCTCACCCAGTATTTCATCATTCTAGCTGTATTTCACAACTAGAATGGGCTTTTCAAAAAACATTCAGGGCCACATTTACTTTCCTACATCTACTTTCACATTCTGGAGAGAAAATATACATAGCAAAAAACTTTCCATCTCATCCCCCAAGTCATCCTGCAGTCTGAATAATTTCAAGTTTTTAATCAATAGCTGTCAGACTTGTCAAATTACTTTACCTTTAGGGACCGCAAAGCAATTTTTAAACATTCATAAACCTCAGTAGAACCAGTTAAGTGCCCTGAATTTTAAGAGGAAGATGCACCCAAAAACACTGATCAAACAGGATTGTATTCCAGAAAATTAGAAATTAGCTTTTCATGAATCCCCTCCCCAACACTCATCTGGCAGTGAGTTCCCAGGCAGTGGAAAATACTCAGCCAGGGAGGTGGGGAGGTGATAATGATGGGATGGAAAGGAAAAGTATAACCTCCTATAGGGGTGGGAAGGAAGGGCTCAGTTGGGTTTAGAAAGGGATCAGTTGTAGGCCTTGGATGTGGCATTTTATCTTGATCCCGAACCCTAAGCATAATACCTTGTACATGGTAGGTACTTAACAAATATTAGTTGAATTAAATTAGGTGTGACTCTACCCTTCCATCTCTGCCATATTATCCCTAATTAGTCCAACTATACTTTCTTCTTGGCCATCATCCTGGTATAGGCCCTTTGCCACTGACAAAGACAATTTCAATAGCCTTCTAACAGCTCTTTAAATGTTTCGTGCTACCTGCCTCTCCCCCCACCTCTCAAATCATCTTCCATCCTGCTGCCAGAATAAACCTTCATTTCCATAGATGTGGTCACCTCTCTTGAAAGTTCAAACTCCTTTTCTTGACATTCAATGTCCTCTGCAATGTGGTACCACCCTACCTTTCTAGTCTTGTCTTATATTGCTCACTTCCAAGCACTTTAGTCTCCGGCCAAACTCATCTATTTTTCTATTCTCCAAATGTACTGTGTGTCTTTCAACCTTTGCTCTGACTATTCTCTAGGCTGGGATGGATGCCCTTGAAATCTCTCTTCTTTAAATGGGGGATTTGGGCTCAATGATGTTTAAGGTCCCTTTCTAGCTCTAAATCCTATGATCCCTCCCCATCTTTGCCTATTGAATTCCTACTCATCCTTTAAAGTTCAATTTAAATGCCAACTTGATATCTTCTCTTAACCCTTTAGACAATAATGACTTTTCCCTTCAGACTTCACAAGGTGGTTTCGTTTTGTAAGGCTCTAATATACTTGCTTAACATTTACTATCTGTGTCTTAGTCTTTGTTTGGACTATGAGTTTCTTGAAGGCAAGCACAATCCCTTATTTATATACTTTGTATTTCTCCCAGCAGTGCTCTGTACACTACAGATGCTTAATGAGTGTTCAATGTATTATATTTGGGGCAATCTAAAAGTCTGTTTTCTTTCTGGATAAATCCATTCTGGATCTCTTACTCCTTTTTTTCTCTTTATATTTATATTCATATTCTCTCTCTCCTTTCCTCTTCCCTCCATTAATCCATTAAATTTAGCAACCACTCCCCAACTCCAGTCTGGCTCACCCAATCCAATTTACCACTCTCCTCCGTTCAAGGATTCCCAATGCACATTAAAGGTAATCACTATCTGGTCAAATTCTCTACCCCAATTTCCACACTACTACTTGAAATTTCCACATTTACACTTTACTACATAAATCTCCAGGTCTCCCTCCATTAACAGTCACTTTTTAGATGATCAGTTTGTCAGCTACGTGGAGGATGCACTGAAAGCGGTAAGATTGGAGGCAAGTATATCATTTAGGAGGCTGTTGCAAAGGTCAGAGGCCTGAACAAGTCAGACTTGATAGTCCTTCTAGTAGAAAGAAAGGAATGGATATGGGAGATATTGTAAAGACAAAATCCTTAAGACCTGAGTAGTTATTGGGGGGGGGGGAGGTGATAAAGAAGAGTAAACAATAAAGTATAACTTTTATTGGTTGGGAACTTGAGTGACCAGAAGAATGACTGGTGTCCTTGACAGAAATGTAGAAGTTGGGAAAAAAGCTGTGTTCAGGGAAAATGATGACGAGTTCCATTTTGGATGTAATGACTTTGAGATGCCTACAGGATATCCAGGTGAAGATCTCCAGCCAGCAGTGGGCGACGCAGGACTAGAGCTAAGGGGAGAGATCAAGGCTAGAATCACAGAATAGAATTTTAAAACTTATAAGGGGTCCCTGGAACCGTGTAACCTCGGGCAAGTCAATCAATGCCTCTGGCCTCCATTTCCTTGTTTGTAAAAAGAGGTGGTTGGATTGGATGCCCTTTATGAACACACAAAGTACAGAGAATCCTCTAGTTTAATGACCATCATTTTACACAGGAGGAAAGTGACTTATTCAATCAAGGTCACAAAACCCGTATTATCAAGTGAATCTCCATCTTATCAAGCTTACTCACTGATATAGATGGAGAAAGTTATAACTCTCCTTGGAACTGCCATATTACAAGCTCTAAGAAAAAGTGAAGGTTCTTGGGGATATATCTTTCCTTACATGACTCCAGATCTTAGGAAAGCTGATCTACCTTTTCCAAATGACAACTAACAAATGATGCATGTGTAGCAAGCAAACACTGGTGGGGGAAGGAGGAGGGAAAAGTAATATAAAATACTATTCATGGGAAAACTGGCAAATGAGAGAAATTTAAGAGAAACCAGATCAGTGATCCAACAATCAGAAGAAAGGTTGGTGTAATGTGGCCTCAATGCTTGGTTTCTACTCTTTTTTGCTGTTTTCTATTCTCTTTAAGACCTAGTTCTTAAAGTATAGGTAGGAGACAAGGAAGAATGTCCAGGCCTGGTGGGACTCTCTCTTTGAAGGATGCAACTGGCTCCTCAGCCAGGTGACATTTTGCACTCCTGACAAGGAGCTTCTTCAGTTGTTTCTTCCAGGGGCAGCTAGGTGGCACAGTGGATAGAGCACCGGCCCTGAAGTCAGGAGTGCATGAGTTCAAATCTGGCCTCAGACCAAACACTTGACACTTACTAGCTGTGTGACCCTGGGCAAGTCACTTAACCCCAATTGCCTAAACAAACAAACAAACAAACAAATTGTTTTTCCCAGGCTTCAGGAGGGAAAGTCAAAGGAACCATTCTCCAAGGTGGCCTATATCTACTAAGGGATTGAGGTGGTGGTCCAACAGAGGACAGTGGCATTATGGAAATTAAAAGATGACATTACAACACTGTGAACTGCCCAAGTGGGTTCCTATCATTGGAAGTCTTCAAATTAAGGCTGAATCACATATCAGGGATGTTACAAAGGGTATCACTGCTCAAATTAAGGGTTTAAATAGATGACTTCTAAGTTCACCTTTGGGTTTTAAGGAATACTGGATTTAGGGTCAGAAGAACTGAGTTTGGAGCCCCAGGCGGGGAAACAAACCTAAGTAAGGGGTGGTAAACAGAGCCCTGGACTGAGAATCAGGTGAGAACTGGGGTTAAATCCTAGTAGTAGCTGATTGACCATGGGCATCATTTTCCCGGACCTTAGTTTCCTCACATGTAAAATATAAATTCATCAGTTACGTAATGGATTTAGAGCAGAAGAGACCTAGATAATCTCGTCCAACCCACTTATTTCATAGGCAAAGAAACACAGAAACAGCAAGATTGCAGCCTGCCCAAAGCTTAGCCAGATCAAGATTTGAGCCCTCCTTCCACTACCTCTCTTCCAGGGCTATAGTGAAAAATCAAATGACATAATCAATGTAAATGTATTTTGTATAAAGCGCTACAGAAATGAGAATTACTCATCATTATTGTTATTATTATTAAGTAATGCTGACTTTCCAGTTACCTTGGAAGCTATTGGTCATATAGTTATTAAATGTTGGAGCTAGCTTTTTCCAGTACAGTATGGGGTCTCCCAAATGTTTCTTTTAAATCAGGTATTCCATAATTGGGAGCATTCAGAGCAGGGAAAAAGTTAGAAGACTTTGCCAACATCTGCATCGACACACAGCTGGGACAGACCAAGCAAGCACCTTGAACTGGCTCACTCTCTGTCTCAGGGATAGGCTATTTCCTCTAACAAAGATTCAACAATATCACAGTGACCTAGTTTTTGACAGTTGTTTCAAATACTTAAGCCGCAGCTCACAGAGCTGGAGAAACCGCCTTCCCAGAGACCCCAGTCTGCCAGCATCTGTCCACATCACTTCCTCAACCCCTTCCAGCCAGGAGTTCTGGGAGCAGACAAGAAGGGGTGGTGGTGGTGGAGACTGGGATTTGGGGGAGTGAAGGCTGAGGAAGTGGCTGGGGAGTAAGGAGGGAAGAGGGATAGATAATTAGTCGGTGTCTAACTGGAAATCTGCCTTCTTTGTGCCTTGGGGGCAGCTCTGTCTGTGGGCTTGGCTGGAGACAAATATTAGCCTGTGTGGTAGAAGGAGTCCCGGACTAAGTCAGCAGACCTGGGTTCAAAAGCTAATTCACTGTGGGATCTCAGGTAAGTCACTCATCTCTCTGGGTCTGTAAAATGTGAGGGTGAATATAAAATGAGACTCAATCTCTAAAGTCTTTTCCAATTCTAACATTCCATGTTTTAGCATTCTATGAACTTAGTCTTCAAATTCCACCTTCTAAGGTCCTTCCAGTGCTCACAGTCTATGTTCTAAGACCCTTTCTAACTGTGACATTCTATGTATTTTTCCTCTGGAAAAAAAAAAAGCAAAAAACAAACATTTAACAAGATACTGGTATTTTACTCGGTGAATAATGAGGTAGCCAAGACTTTCAGAACCAGAAACTTGGAGCTGAGTCTTCAGAGATCATCTAGACTTTTAGAATAAGTATCCCTCATACATCCGGGTGGTGTTTTCCTCTTTAAAAAATTCCACACACCCCCTTTCAGTTAGCCTATTTCTAATGATTTCCATATTTTGGGCTGGGTCACTGCTACTATCATTATTTCTCCCTCACTACAAAGGTCTAGAAAATATAATGTACAGGCCTAGCCCCCCAACAAAAAATTAGTGGGTAGAACTGGCCTTCAGTACTTAAGTCAGGGCTGGGAAAACCAAGAATTCCAAACCTTTCTTTATGAAGGGAAAGGGGAAGGGCCAGAGGTAGCAGTGCTGATTTTACAGTGATAATCTTGCCACTAACTTGATATAATATGACTCTGGACAAGTCATTCGCTCTCCCTGTGACTCAGTTTCCCCATCTATAAAATAAGAAAGTTGCATTACATTTTCTTTTCCAGCTCAAATATTCTTAGTAGGTAGTTCCAACATTCTATCTTCTAAGGTTTATTTCTATCTTTGACAGGCTATGATTCCGTTTTCAAAGGCCACTGAGGCACAGGTGGAATAGCTTCTGCCCTGGGGCAATGGCTGAGTTGTCTTCCACCATAAATGTCAACTCGTGGAGACCCTGGACTCGGGGACTATGTCCCTTCTCCATCTGGCTGCAAAACATCTGGCTGTGCCCAGCCCTTCGATTCTGCTGACAAAATCAGTACAGAGACTTAGATGATGCATTTCAGGTACCAAATAGGGACAGGGTCCAGCTGAGGGGTGGTACTCCACCAAGATAAGGGGTCAGCAAATCCACTGACAGTCCCCTTTTCTTGCATTCCCCTAACATAAACACACACATTAACCCCAATCTCTGGCCAGAGACAGCCTTTGCTACTCACCATCACCATTGCTACACTCTGGCTTCCTCTGGCTGGCCCCAGGAGCTGAAGAAACCCAGGCAAAACCATGAGCTAGCCAAGGAGGGGAAGGAGGGGAAGGAGAAGAGTCGTTCCCAAGCCCCTGGTCTGTTGCCTCTCTGTATGGGACTAGCTGCCGCTGGCCGGCCAGGAGCTGCCCGCTGGTCCTCACTAAGTCTTCTCTCCCTCTGGTTCTCAGCAAACCATTCCAGCCCCGTCCACTGGGAACAATCATCGCTAGTTAAACAAAGGCTATATTCTAACTCTATGTAATGTGCTTTTAAAGGGACAGTGTCCCATTCTGGGCTGCTGGGATTTAAAGGCACAGAGACCCTTTTCTAAGCAAAAGACTGGACAAAATATAAAACAGGAAGACCAACACAGTAGGAACTGGAGCTTATGTTCTTCACTAAAAGTCTTTAAGAATATGTATTTAAGGACAATTAAAATCAAATTTTTCATGAGTTCTGAAGCTCCAAAAATGAAACTTTAGGGTTTGAATTGGTGATAGATATCTAAGAGGAATGGAAAAATAATTAGCTTCAATTTATATGTTAGAGACATTCAGCTGGGTTTACCTCAGGATATGCCAAACCTCTCCCACTGGAGGCAGCCATACTCCCTTAAAGAGGGAAGGGATAGAGTTAGGGGATGTGTATAATGTGAGGGGCAGGGGGGGGGGATTCTGGAGGAAAAAAAAACAAGGAAGAGGAAGAGATTAGAAGAAGGAAGGTATGACAGCTGAGATAAGAAGAAAGGAGAGAAAACAAATCGGAGAAAGGGAGAAAGAGATGAAGAAGGGAAGGACTAGGAGAAGAAAGAAGCACCAGAAAAAGAAAAACATGCAAAGAAGGGCAGAGAAACCTCAAGTCTGTGTTATACATGGATTATCTGAAGCTACTGTGTGTGTCTAGTCAATAATAGTCAATAATTATTTACTGAGCATCTACTGACATGCTAGGCACTATGCTAAACCTGGGGACACAAGTATAAATAAAAACAAAGAGTCCCTGGCCTCAAAGAGCATCCAATCTAATGGGAAAAGACAACATAAAAGAAAACAGCAGAGGTGGGGGGAAGAAGGGGAGCCTAAAGAGACTTGGGAAGGACATGATAGCTGAGAGTATAGGGTGGCAATCAAAAGGGGGCATCATTGGTATCAGGAAGACACCAAACAACTAGAGTTGTCCAAAAATGGAGTGGGCTGCCTGGGAAGTCTTCCACTGTGGTCTGGATGATTGCTCACTGGGTATGCTAGAGGAAAGATGCCTTTTGTGTAAGGGGTTGGATTAGATGGTCACTGAGGTCCCTTCCAACTCTCACATTCTGTGATTCTGTGAACTAAGAGGAGGAGAGAGATTAGGGAGAAGAGGGCAAAAGGAAGAGCAAGGAGAAGAAATGAAGCTGCAGCCCAGCTCGTATGGAGTCACACAGCAAGTATACTACAGAAGGGACTGGGCATTTTGACTTCAAACGCAACACCTTCCCCTCTGGCCTGCACTCTGGCTGTTTCCTCATGGTCCACACTGCCCCCAAACCCCACAGGATGGCTAGGTCTAAGTGCCAGCTCAATCACCTCAGTGAAAACGTCCAAGGCTTTTCTCTGGACACAGTGACAACTGCGGGCTACATAGGTAGTTAATATGGGTTATCAGAGAAAAGTTCCCTAGTCCTCAGAGGAGCTGGGCCAGGACCTAACAAACTTTGTGGCCCTTTTTTAAAAGTCAAAGGCTTGTGTTAAGTGTTAAGTGTTAAGCCTTTCTGGGCTGGCTGACAATGCATGGCTAGTAACAACATTCAGTTCGGGGTGGCAATTGCCTTCAAACTCTGTTTACATATCCGGTGGAATTTTATGTTTCTAAAAGTTTTTGAAAATGTTCTGGTCTGGTTTTGCATTTGTCAATAACGTCAGAAGGCCATGGGAAAAACACCCAACTACTATTATCATTATCACCAACACCTCTATTTCTCCAAAACTTTAAGGTTTACAAAAAACACTTTCATAAAAACAACTTTTTGGGGTAAGTAGAACAGATTACCATATACCTGTTACTGATGAGAAAAGTGAGCCATCAAAAGATAGGCAGGCTTGTGCCCAAGGTCACACAGCTACTTAGTTTCAAACCCAGATCTCTTAACACCAAAATGCAGCTATTTTTCTACTATACTATTTTCTACTATAAGAGGATTATGAGTATATTTAAATTAGGAGTAATAACTAGGAAGGTCTCCTGGGTTCAACCATCTCCTGGTTGTAACATACCCTAATTCAGGGGTGGGGAACCTTCTAGGTCCTTGGGTGCTGCCTTTAACTAAGTCCAAGTTTTACAGAGCAAACACTTTTAATCTAGGGGATTTGTTCTGTGAAGTTTGGATTCAGTGAATGGGCTGCACTTAAAGACCCAGAGGGCCACAAGTGGTCTCAAGGCCTCTGGGTTCCTCCCCACCCCGCCCTAATGTAAAGGTTTAGCAGCTTTCGAGGACAGAATTAACCCTCTGAAAGTTCAATCTATAGTCCAAACATCATCAAACAACTGATTGAATCAATTTCTCAGCCAGGGTCTTCCTGTCATCTCCAGATCACTTACTGTGGAAGTGTTTATATCTAGGGTTTTGCCTATTGTCACCAACTCATAATTCAACTCATTTGAACTGAATTCAATAATGATGATGATGATAAATAGCGAGCATTTATATAGCACTTCAAACTCCACAAAGCACTGTACATTTGTTGTATTTCAATTAAACATGCCTAGGAAATATAACTTAACAGGCAATTCACTCAAATCCAGACTGTGATTTGGTCACACAAAAGGCAGAAAGAGGAATTAGAACTCAGGTTCTTGGACTCTAAATCTAAAGATTTTTACACTTCATCACAACAGAGGTAGGACCAGAGGGCTCTCTAGTTGTCCTAACCCAGCTCATATATAAAGCTCCCAGAAGCTGCTTTTTATATTCTTTGTATATATTTTATGTTCTGGTGCTTTTGTTGTTTCTCCTCTACAGAATGTGTAAGCTCCTTGAGGGCAAGAACTTTTTTTTTTGGTCTTTGTATCCCCAACACTAAGCAAAGGGCCCAACACATAGTAGGAGGTTTTAACAATCAGGAACAGAAGTCAGAGGAAGGCAGAAACTGAGATGGCATAAACCAGTGTATGCTTTGCCGCTGAGCTTCCCACTGGTGTCCCTGCTGATCCCATGTGTCCCATATGGTAAGAGTCCCCAGGGTAAAGGATGTGTGAATCCACCCCATCTAAGGTGGACGGTGGTCCAAGGAAAGGAAGAAAGGTCAATGTGTCCTGGACTTCGCAGCCTGAGGGAATGAGCTAGTCTGGTAGCAGCTGAAAAGTACTCCTCTCCTGGCTCCCCTGGGGGAGCAGTAAGTGTCTGGGTGCAGGACCCACCTAACCAGTGCTTGCTCTGGCCAGAACACCGGATCCATGGAAGGGACTTATGTCAACTAAGTCTGGAAAGGTCAATGAGTTCAGATTGTGAAGAACCTTAAATGCCGTGCTGAGGAGTTTGCAGCTAATCTCAAAGGCAATAGTAGGTATAGGAAGCCATAGAAAGTTTTTGGTCAGTCCTCCCTTCCTTTTCTCTCCAGATTCCAGAAGCAGCTCAGGGCCCAAGGCAATCACCATATTCAGGAGGGAAGGAAGAGAAGTCTTGAATTACAAATACCAGTCAAGAGAGGGCTGGGAGTCTCATTTCTCTTAACTATAAGTACTTTTAGAATCCTAAAATATTGCAGCTGGAAAGGAGAGGACCTTAAAGACCATTTAGTCCAACCTCTACATGTTTATAGAGAAGGAAACTGGAGCCCAAAGAGAAATGCCTTTCTCACCAACCATCACACATGCAAAGTGGTACGTAGAGCTCACCCCTAAGTCCCTTGATTCTGACACCCAGTATCCCTCCTATCATGCCATTCTGTATCTCAGGCAAGTCCCTCAACTCTCTCATCCCAATATTGCTCTCCTCAGAAATTTCCTTAGCTGCATAAGCCAGGATTTGGGAGACTTCACCTATCTCAGGCTCTCTGAGAGCTGGTAAAGGCTACAGGCCTAACTCCCAGCCTAGCCCCATATATCTTGTTTACAACTCAGACAGGAAAGGGCTGTGACTGGGCCAGCTGAGTGCAGAGGAAGCAACAGGCTCTCCCATCTGAAATAAATGAAGAAATGCCTCAATCTGGGGAAGAATCAGCCTCTTAAAAATCAGAAATATGGGTGTAATTATTGGAGAGGGGGATTGCATGCCAGCTTAAGGGGAGTGCCTGTTTTTGAAAGTAGTGTCCTTCATTCTCTTCAACCCTTTGCAGTCTGGTTTCTGACCCCATCACTAACCTGAAAGGGCTCTCTCAAAAGCTGCCAGTGACCTATCAGTGGTCTCCTTTGATGATTCATCCTTTCTCCTTTCACTTCCTACATAAGCTCTGACCTAGCCCTCCTCTTTTTACATTCTCTCCCTAGGCCCTATGACCTGTTCCCTAGGGTTCTATGATAACCTCTAGACAGATGACTCCCATGGCTATATATCCAAACCAAATATTGCCTCTGAGCTCCAGTATTCCAACTCTGAATGTCTCTGAACACCTCCATCTGGATGACCTACTAGCCTTTACCCCTAGGCCTGCCCTGCCTTTCAACATCCCCATTTCTGTTCATGATTCCATCATCCTCTTAGTTACTCATGTACAAAAACTCTGTTTTCTCTTCCTTCCTCCCCCAATGCCCTCTTCCCACCTGGCTGTATTGAGTCATTTTTTTCAGTTACGTCCAACTCTTTGTGACCCAACTGGGATTTTCTGCAAGCCTGGTGCTCTATCTAGAGCCTAGAGCCACCTAGCTGCCCTCCCACCTGACTAGATGACCAATATCTTTTCTAGCCCTAAATTAATGATCCTAGGAAGGATATAGGACAGTATTGTAGACTTGGGTTCTAGTCTTTGACCCTGCCACTAACTTGGATGACCTTGAACAAAATATTTAATCTCCCTGGGCCTCAGTTTCTTCATCTGTTTAAAAAAAGTGGGGGAGATGAGACATAAAACTAAAGACTCTCTAAGAGATCTTCCAATCCTAACAGTCTCTGTTGTGAGCTCCCCTCCAGTTTTGACAGTTTAGATTTTGATGATCTGAATTTTTCTATGGAGGCCCTCCTTATTTACCATCCCTTTGTCCCCCAACCCCAACTCTGACTCTCTGTGAGCCCATCTCTTACCACACCTGTTCCTGAGCCCCACCTCTCTCCAAGCAAAAACAGTCCTACCTACTTCCTGGCCCTAAGCTAGCTTTTTCCTTTCCCAGCAGAAGGCCTTGATGAATTAGATAAGGCTGTGGGTTAGGCATTACCAAGCCAGTGACCCATTCCCCTTTGGAGTGGGCAAACAGAACTCAACGGACTTTTAGCATATAGGGTGCCCATCATTCAGACTGAGGATACAGGACTGTCCTGTGCTGTCTCAATCTAAGTCAAGGGGTGGCTTTGTCTCAAGAGACTTGATGCTGGCAGACCACTGAGTTTCTGAGTCACATTTGAACCCTTAGTGCTTGAGTAGTGGAGCACTAAAAGGGGAGCATGGAGGGAAAGACAGCTTCTAGTGCGGAGTTTTGACAAAGGCTCTCAGCCCTGAAGATGATCTTTGCCTTCCCTGGGACCCATGCTTAAGCCTCTGTCAGAAATAACCACAGCTCAACCCAGTAAGCACTGTCTATTGCAGTGGAAAGAAGCCAAGCTTTAGATTTTGAGTCCAAGGACATAGGTTAGAGTCCTACTTCTGCCAATTATTATATGTTTTATCTTGGGCAAGTGACTTGGCAGCTACAAATATTATTCTACTCTTAAGCTGCATTAGGAGACAGCTAGTATTCAGAACATAGAAGGTGTGTTCTGTCCTGGTCAAACCACATTTGGAAAACTGTATTCAGTTCTGGATGCCACATTTTAAGAAAAGCATGCAAACTAGAGTGTGCCAAGAGGTGGGTGACTGGAAATATGAGTATCAGCAGAAAGAAGGGGGGACGCACAGAACCGGAGAAGAGAAGACTTAGAGGGTAGTGAGGGACATGATAATGTTTTCAAGTATGTCAAGTATAAAGAATGAGGTTTTAGACTTATTTTGTTTAGGCAGAATTGGGAATAATAGATGGAACCAGCAAAAAGGCATACCAAAGTTCAATACAACTTGCAACAGAGACATCAAAAAACGAAAGGTATTGCCCCGGGAAGAAATGATTTTTCTGTTACTGAACATCTTCACGGGATTATAAATTTGGAACTACAAGAGACCGAAGAAGCCATCATGTCCAATTTTCTGATTTTCCAGATGAGGAAGCTTAGGCACAAAAAGGTTAAGTGACTTGTCCAGGGTCACATAGTTACAAAAGTGTCTAAAGTGAGTTTTTATGGTCTTGACTCCAAATCTAGTACAATTTGGTGGCTGAACACTTTTCAGGCATGTTATAGATGGGAACAGTGTGTTTAAGTACATGATTTTTGAGGTCTTCTGTAACTCTGGGATTTAAAGTCATCTTGCCCCTCAGGGTGGGCGGGGTGTGTGTGTGTGTGTGTGTGTGTGTGTGTGTGTCTGTCTGTCTCTCTGTCTCACAGATTGAGAGAGACAGAGAGAAGCAGAGAGACAGAGATTGCTAGACAACTTCTGTGTTCTCTTCTAGCTTTGAACATCTTTGTCTTTCTTAATTCCTCTAGACATGAGCAACCTTTCCTCCAAGGACCTCTAACCCTAAATTTGTGACAGAACCCAATACTAACCTCAGAAATTTGGAGAAATTTAGAAGATAAAGAGGACTGGGATGAGGGGTTGAAGTAGGGGGCCAAAATATCTGACTGTCCCAGTCTTCTGACAAGACAGTGGTCCTGAGGGCAGGTGTGGTGGAGTGCATGGGAAAGCCTTCAGAAACAAATGCAATCCTGTGCTTTTTCTAATCTTTATGGAAAGATTAGGCTATGATCCTCTGAGTAAACTCAGCTCTCTGGGAAGCTAATTTTTATGGGTGTTAGACTCAGTCACATAGGGACACAGGAACAGAAAAAGGCGAAAATACTCAGAGAAATGAAGAGACATTCAGAGATAGGAAAAGACAAAAGCTGGCAGTCAGAAACACCAAGGGAAAGAAATATCTGAGACAGTCAGACATAGACAGATACATTGGATGTAGTGAAGGGACAGTCAAAGAGGGAAGGAGAGGGAAATGAACAGAGACAGAGAAATCATAGAGAAAAGCCAGGCCTGGTCTCCCTGCTCCTCCCATCAGAAATGGCAAGCCCAGGCAAGAAACCCAGCAAGCACTAACTCCTCTTTTCTTCTACTAGGGCTAGCCCGCCGGGACCCAGGACCTGTCCTTCCCAAGAAGATGCCCAGGGACAGCATGGATGGGGCCACAGTAACCTGAGAATGAAAAACAGAGGGGAAGAATCCTGTGGCCAAGAGAAGCCTTTCTTGCTGGCCGCTTGACCCCAAATAAGCACCCACCCTGTCAAGATCCTTTGAAAAACACTCAGATCTTAATAGTCAAAATTAAGATAATCTATAGCTTGGAGAGACTTTTGAGATTATCCAGCCCTAATTCCTAATTTTACAGATTAGAGAAATTAAGGCCCTGAGAGAAAAATGCCTTGGACTCAAAATCATAAAGCAAGTAATTGGTATAGCCAGTGTACCCAAGTCTTCTACAACCTTTAATCTAATCCCCCAGCTGTTGTCCCCTCCTCTCCTCTCAAATTACCTTGTATTTACTTTGTCTATATTTTGTATTTACCTCTAAGTGTATGTGATGTTTTTCACACAGACCGCAAGGGCTGATTTTTGTCTTTATAACCTCTGCACCAGGTACAGTGACTGGCATACAGTAAGAACTTAATAAATTCTCATCACTTGGATAATCCTAACTCCAAATCTAGTACCACACTGAGTCTTTATATTGAATCAAGTGTTGATCTAAGTGGCACAGACTCTAAGTATAAGGCTTCCTGAAGGGAGTGGCACTTATATAACCAGAAAAATCTACCTGCATCAGGAAGAAGCAAAACCAAATCAGCCATAGGACTTTGATGTTCTCAGTCCCGGAGGAAAAAAAGTCCTGGCTCCAATCCACCCCCTCCCCACCTTGCACTTTTATTAGTAACTCAATCGATAACGTTTTAGGAGTAAACTTTCACTCCTGCAATACTAAACACAAGAGACAGGCTCAGATTATTAAATCTGTCACTGAGAATTGGCAACTGGGAAAGTCAAAAAGAATACCAAAAAATAAAAAAGGCTTTAGGTGTGGGATTCTGGGCAGACTAAGCATAATGACAACCAAAAGGAAAATTTATTAATTTTAAAATACAGCAAGCACTTCTTATGTGCTATCTGGAAAGGAGGGGGAACAAGGATCGATAGGACATGGTTTAAGAATCCTAGAATGTCAGAGCTGAAGGAATCTGGGAACACAAAATGCTAGAATACAGCACATGGAATATGTTACGAGCTGGAAGGAACAACAGACCAATGATAAGCAATGTTCAAGAATGGTACAGAAGGGTTGGAATGGACTTAAGATGATAATACAGTTCAATTCCATCATTTACATATGAAGAAACTGAAGTCAAATGAAGACAAGTGACTTAGTCAAAGTCACTTCCCAACGAAAGGTAATTAGTGGCAAAGCAAGACAAGAAGAAAGAATCCAGCACTTTTGAACTCTTGAACCTGATCCCCAAGTCCAAGGCTGCCGCGCGCCCCCCCCATTTAATTTTTCACAATCTCCTTGCTAGTTTCCCTCACCCACCAAACACTGCTACCTTGTTCTAGCTGGTCACAGAATAATTCATGTGTTTGGGAGAGAGCAGCATTCAGTGGGAAAAAAAAATCTTTGGGCACAAGATGCTACAACCAGCTGTCAAATCAATTTACTCTTGAGGACATTAATTACCACCTAGACCCCTGGAAATGAACCATTCGAAGTTGCGTGGTAATAGGAACAAATTAAAGTACAGGCAAGAAGTGACCCTCCCCCGCCTTCTTCCTCCCTCCTTCAGCTTTTGCTAGCACAAATCTTTCTAGAAGGTGTTCACAGATGAAACTACTAGAGCTGAAAGGGACTTAAAAAAATAACATGTCATCTAGACCTTTCAATTTTCAAATGACCAGAAAACTGAGGCCTGGATTGAGGAAGGGACTTATCCAAGGTCACACTAGAAGTCAAGTGCCAAAATCAGGGTTAGAATACAGGTTCCCTAACACTTAGCTCAGTACTATTTCCCTATATATCATGTTGCTTCCCTCCATGATCTCATGGGCTCCTGACAATAAACCTGGGAGTTGGTCAGGGCAGATATTATTATTTTCAAAAATGATTCCATTATAAGCATTTTTGACAAATGTAAAAATCAAACAAAATGAGGTACAAAATCAGAAAAAAAATCATAAACTTCGATAGTTTAACATTTTGATAAAAGGAAAAATAACTTTAATTGTAACTCCTTATTTTGCTCTTTTTCATCTATGTACTTACAAAGTTTTGTTGCTTCTGTCAGGGCAAGATGTTAACTCAATTTTGCAGGTGAAGAAAATGTAAAGTGACTTTATAAAAAATTACTGAATTACAGAGCTGGAAGCTATCTTTTAGAGTTAGAAGGAAATTTAGAAAACAGGATCATCATAGGATCCTAGATTTGAAGTTACATGGGGGCTATCAACATCCAATTCCTGGACTTTATGAAGAAAGAAACTGTGGCCCAGAGTACAAAGGGTCAAAAGGAATCTATCGTAGAACCAGAACCTGGGCTTTTTGATTCTTAGTCCACTATACCACTTTTGATACTCTCCTCACTAAACAATTCAAGGCAAGCCAACAGGACCATTTATAAGTCATGATATGCTCTTGCTCTCATCTCTGCCCCCTTATTCCTCAAAGACCATACAACATCCTTCAAAAAGCGTGTTACCCTTGGTTAGGTTCAGAACTAGCAAGTGGCACAGGTTGTTCTGCTTTCTGTAAAAACTTCATTTGAATGATGTTCACATGCTTAAAAAACAACAATAAAACAAATAAACAAAACTCTCCCACTACATGGCCATGAGAACGTTAAAAGATTCCTAAGTCACAACTGGAAATGAGTGAAAAATTACAAAGGCCCCCAGCACAGGTAATACACTCAGGACATCCTGAGAGGGAAAGAAGGAAAAATCAGTAGAAACAGATGGACTTTTAAAAAACCATTTAGTGTCATTTGTCCCCTCTACACCCCCACTCCTTGAAAACTGACATAGCACTCGATTCTTTAGTACTCCGGACTGAATCTATCACAAATAATCTTTTCTCTCTAAAGGCGTTCAGTGACTTAGGGAGGGGTATATTAATATGGGTGATTTACTGGGGGTTTTTGAACTTCCTTCTGGTCTTAGGTTCTATTATTCTCAGCTCAGAAGTAATGTTAGTGATCACCAAATCCAGCCTCTTCACTTTCCTGACGACAATGAGGATGATGATGACAGGCTTTAACATTTGTTAAGCACTTTATCTATGATAACAAGTTAATTCAATTGATTCACACAAAAACCTGGTGAAGCACTAGCTATTATTATCATCCTCATTTTACAGATGAGGAAACAAGCACTAAGAATTCAAGTGATTAGCCCAGGGTCACACAGGTTACCTGAGGCAGAACTTGAACTAGGTCCACAAGGGGCAAAGAAACTTGCTCGGGGCCCTTCCTACAACAAAGCGGCATAACTTGATTGGAACTCAGGTCTCCCGATTCCCAGTCAAGTGCTCTTTCCTTCCACTATGCAAAACTCTGGAGATCCCAAATTCCTGCTCACCTCTCACCAGATTTCCAGCCTGAGGGAGCCTCAAAGAGCTAGCTCTAGCCAGAACTAGCCTTGACCCTAGTTTCAATCATGTTATCTCTATTACAAAGAAATAGCAGGAGATAAAATCCTCCCACCCCCATATTTCTCTTGCAGTTCTACCAGAGTTTCGAATGCTGCTAGCTCTTTTCTTTCTTTCTTTTCCCATCTGTTCTTTTTTTGGGGGGTAGGGGTGGGGGGTCTTAGGGATCTTGTAGCACAAGATCCTCACGTTAGGATCAAAGAATGTTAGAAGATACCATGGAACATTAGAATGCTAAAAGTGAAACCTACCTAGTATGTGGAACGCTAGGCCTGAAAAGGACCTTAAAACACGGATAGTCAAGGAATCTTAGCCAGATAAAGAAACAGAAGACCAGAGAGGTTAAACGACCAGTTCAAGACAACATAACCAGTAATGGCTGAGCCTACGCTGACTTCTCCTGACAGTTTTCCATCATTAGACTGCTTCAACAAGTCAACCTTGCTTTCCCTTTCTTCCATCTGCCTTCAGCCATCTCTTCCCAACCCCCAACCTCTTTCCAATTCCTGATGCACAGTCTGAAGGGTGCTCTCCCTCTCTCCCTCCCAGGGGTAGCTGGAACATCAGGCAGGTCCCCTAACTTGCCTCCACAAGGGTGGGAGTGGAGAGTGACATTCCAGAGCTGGTATTCTATCTGTAATCACCACTTCCGCCTTCTAGCCCTTCAGGGGCACAGAAGCTGGGGAAACCTTCGGGTTCTGAGGAAGCAAATACCCCCCGGGGTTCATCTGAATAGAGCATTTCTGGGGTCTAGAGAAAAGCGAATCGCACCAGATGAAAGGCAGGAGGATGGGCTGCGGTTGAAATGAAGTGAATAGAATGCTCGGGGAGTCCAAGAGAATGGAACAATTACGAACGAAACGGAGCATACTTCCACACCCAGGGATGGAAGGGCTGGGGGGCAGCACGCACAGCTGAAGTCCCTTATACCGCAACCTCCTGCCAATTGCCCAAACCCAGACATATTTCGGTGGCAGCCGCCCTCCTTCCCCAACGGAAACCGGTTCTTGCTAAGAGAACAGCCACAACTGCCCGGCCTCCAGGCAGCCTGCCCGGACTCCCGCAGTCCGGTTTGATCTGATCCAGTCTTCCCACCGCGGGGCTCCGAGGACTCCTTGGAGACCTGGTCCAAACTTAGTGGAAACAAGGGGTAATTTTCTTTAGCTGGACCGCAGTAAAACCAGGCGGTCTCCTCTCCCAGCCCCGCCCTGCCCTGCCCCTCCTTCCAGACCCCCGGGTGGCGGGAGAAGGTGGTGAGCGATCCCACAACCCTAGCCACTCACCAGGCTCCCAGATCCAGGCCTCGGAGAAAGGGCCGGACCAGCCAGCGACGCGCCCATGCCGAGGCCGGCGCCCGGGCCCCCACCACCCGCTCCGCTCTCTGCAGCGGTGCAGCTCCAAAGTCGGGCCAGCTGCCGGGGCTCAGGCCCTACCTGGGCTATGCGCGCTCCTGACAGGCAGCCCCAGAGGCCGGGCCGGCCTCCTCAGCCGCGGGAGCGCGCACGGGGGCGGGGCAGGGCTGGGAGTCCCAAACAAACCCAGTTCCCAAAGAAGACTGCCACCCACCCAAACGCAAACCCAAAGGAATAATTCAAGGATTTGAATTTGCCTCCTGGCAAATCCAGGTCTTCCAGTTTAAACCCTGGGTCAGCCAGCCTTCTCCCCGACGAAAATCTCTGGCTTCTCACAATCACTAGAATGCTAGGCCTAAGAATCAAATTCAAGTTCAGATAGGAGTCACAGAAACTTAGAACAAAGAACACAAGAGCTGGAAGGAAACCTTAAACAATGGCAACAATTTACATTTCTATAGTACTGTAATGTTTACAAAGGGCTTTCCACACAACAACCCCGATAAGGGGGTGTGCACGGATTATTGTTCTTTTTTCAGTGAGGAAAAACAAGCTCAGAGAGACAGGGATTCGACCCATAGAACTTTAAAGATAGCTCCGAGGAAAAACTTGAAGCTAGTTCCCCAAGTTCACACAGCTCTCTTTTCATTACATCACCTTAGAACACACAATGTTGGTACACAAAACTTGGTGACCATCCATTTAGTGACACGCCCCTTCCCCCTCCCCACCCCGCCCCCCCCTTCTTAACCTAGGATCTGTGAACGTTTTAAAAAGAATATATTGCTATAACCTGATTTCAACATCATTGAATTCTTTTGTAATCCTAATATGCTTTTTAAAACATTTTGAGAAAGGGTCC